TTTCTATTAAGCTATTACTGTTAGTTTTAGGTCTACCACTTTGCCTCCAGATAATTCTATAGCAAAGATAATTTATAGTCTTCTTCTGCCTTAATTTTTAGTAATTCACTACCGTTTTTAATTGGTATTACTCTTTGCTACATATTCAAGTATTCTAGATAGCTAGACTATCTTATTTTTCTGATATTCATGATTCTTGATGTAGTCTTGAAACTAGTATCATCTTCTCTTATAAATGAAAAGCCCTAAAGTGATTAATATTAAACTAAAAAGAAGCAATATTCTTAAATGCAATTTATAATTAATGTATTGCTAGCATAGCAACAAAAGAAATCAGAAATTACATTCCAGGAAAGAATAAGATCAGATTAATTACCTTTATTGGTAAAAATTCTGGATAAAAGAGTGTCAAAACGAAAAAGAAACACAAAGTAAAATTTATAAATATTTATTATTATCTCTTATTTAATTACATTAAAAACAATAATTAGTACTCAGAAAAGGTGGTAGGGTTCTAAATGAATAATTAATTAATTTATTATAACTATATAGGATTATTGGCAACATCCAATCAATGATTTCAATGAAAAATAGAATATTTTTTCATAATTCTATCATCAAGTCTTTCATATAATGAAAATAAATTTTATTTGATGTCTTTAAAGCAATGTGTGAGTTTATTTTGTATTTTATAAAAATAAATTTATTAATCTAATAGAAACAAAGTTATGTTTCATAATTAGAATTATTTAAAAATTATTAAATTATTTTAATTCTTTTTCATTCAGTTTATTATTTCTGGTAGTTTGATCAATATAAAATATTTGAAATAGCAATAAATCTATTTAACAAAAATTAAATTGATCAAGCCTCTCATTAAAGAATTTTTAATAAATAATAAATATGAGACAGACTTATTTATTTGTTTTTTTATTGTAAATAGAATAATACTATTTACTTGTGTAATAGAAAAATATTATTTATTACAAAAAATGATGTTCTATACTTTTATCACTTTTTCATATACTTTAAGTTTGGGTTGAAAATAAACTCACATTATTTTTAGGATACACAGCTTTTACAAAAGAAACAGACAGAATTTGATAATGCACTAGCAACATTAACTATTTCTATGCAAAACCAATTTAGATAACTACTTTAAAACAAAGCAAACTATGAAGTAAATTCCAAGTTCAACAATGTATGATGTTGAATGTAAAACCTTTCAAATTTTATGCTGATACTTTTAATACTGATTACTGATCATTAAATCGCGAATGCTATTACTTAAATGATAAATATATTTAGAAGCAGCTT